TCACAAAGCACCCCACCCAGGAGATTGCAGAAATCTGATTCAAACTCTCACACTCTGGTTTCTCTCCATGCCCAAGTTTTTTCCAGAACCCTCTGCTTAGACCCAAGATCAAAAACAAATAATAATAATAATAATAATAATAATAACAACAACAACAACTTCCTAATAGAAAAGTTTGTGAGACTTTTCATCCTGTGAAAGTTGGGCAGTCCTGAATAGAAGATTTGATTTTTGACATATGGCTTCTTTCAAGAACCACCAGAGGACTAAGGGATCAAGTCATCTTCAGGTGGTGAGGGGGAGCCAAGGAAGTTCGAACAGAAGCCAGGGAGGAATAAGAAGAGGGGGCACAAGCATCCAATTCCTGGTAAATAAACACCTTTGCGACTCACTGTGCATATGTTATGTATGATACTTTGTTTATCCTGCCATCCTCTCAACTTGTTTAACTGTGTTTCCTGCACTAACATAGGTGTATCCAAAGCCTGCTGTGAACCGGTCTTACCTACTGGTATTATGTAGTCACTTAGGAACTTCTGTTTCTCTCCTTGAATCAAGGAAGCCTGTGTTTTGAATTAACCAGTTCTAGGCTTAGTCTTTCATTTAGCATAATCTTGAAAGCAGGATGCAAAGAAAGAAACTGGAAAGAGAAGGGAGGAAGTGGAAAGCTTCCTCTTACGAAAAGTCTTGGTCATGTGAAATTCAGATACTGACCTGGTTTGATGGTTGGTTTTATGACTGAATTAAGAAACAGCTAGGTATCAGTTGAGTATGCCTTTGGATGTGCCTGTAAGAGCATTTCCATCTTACCGGAAAGAGGAGTTGGCATTCTGTCTTTCAATCCACCATCTTTAATCTCCTCCCTTCTACTGCCTCTCTCCTCCTGGTCTCCTAATCCCATCTTGCTTTGCTATTGGCCAACAGTGCTTTATTCATTTAATTAACCAATAAGAGAAACATATTTACAGAATTACATCTCCCTTTTTTTTTTAATCTTTTGAGATTTGACAGCTGTTCTTAAAAAAAATTTCAGTACCTGTGCAAACAGTCTTCCATGTGCCTTAAGCACACACTAAAAATAGCTCTACCCCATCTGCAGGGCAAAATACATAATTTCATGAACTGGGATCAACATGTAAAATAAAAAATAAAGAAAGAAAGAAAAGAAAACTACAAAGAAAAACAAAACAAAAACAAAATGATAATATACCTCTCAAGTGTAAACAATATAGACATGGTATACAGTATTTACAAAATATAAAATATAATACAGGCTTCTTGTGTGTGACTTAAGCTCATCTCCTGCCATATGCTGCAACAAGGCATGTTTCCACTACTGTATCTGTTTCCTTTTAGAGACCAAGGAATTGGGGGGAAAAAAATCTATGTTTAACATACACATTGAAAACTAAAAACTAATTCTGAACTTTGAGGAGTGTTTTCAAGTGCACTGCCATGAGCTCCCTGCTGTTGCTGGGATTTTCAGCAGTGCCTTCCATCCAGCTACTCAGAGGCTTTGGAAGAACACTATGGGAAGGTGGGTCGCTAAACTTAGCTCTGGCATAATTTTTCTCTTGGCACTTCTGTTGGAAATTCGGATTTCTTCAAATGGTTACTTTTAATGTTCTCAGTATTATTAAAGGGCTTTTATTTTTTTCCTGGCTTCTGCATTCTATCAGGGAAGCGGAGTCCTGCCAAAAGGCACTTTCTTTCCTTTGGGCAAAGTTGATCTTGGTGAGTGGCAAGTTATATTTGTTTTTCTGTTTATCTGTGGTTGTTCACACACGTGTGTATACCATGTACAAGCTGGCAGTAGGGAAGGGCAATTTTCTCTGATTTTTCCATCTTTGATTTTAAAACCTTCATGAGCAAGGGGGTTGTCTGAGTAGCAGGGCTGTAGCCGCTGGGCCCTGTTCCTCTTGCACAGCAATAGGCCTGTCCTCCAGGCTAGGCCAGTGCTGCTGGAAGTAGTGGAAGCAGTTGGCTCAAACCTTATGCTGGACATTTCTCTAGAGTCAGGTGCCCTCCATTATGTTCTCTCTTTCTCTCTCTCTCATCTATTCAACCCCGACTCAATCTTCCCAGTCCCACATGTTCTCTTTCTTCCCATTCTCCTTCTTCTAACTCTCTCTCCACTCATTGACCTCCACTCCCAACTTGCTCAGGAGATCTTGTTTCCTTCCCCTTCTATGAGGGACCTTGTATGAATCTCTTAGACTCCTCCTTGTATCCTAGTTTCTCTGGTGGTATGAATTATAGGCTGGTGATCCTTTGCTCTGTATCTAAAATCCATATATGATTGAGTACATACCATGTTCCTTTTTTTGCGACAGGGTTACCTCAGTCAGGATTGTAGGATGGTTTCTTCAACTTCCATCCATTTGCATATGAATTTCAAGATTCCATTGTGCCCTCTATTATGGTATCTCTCTCTTTTTTTCTCTCTTGTCTATTTGTCCCCCGATTCAATCTTCCTAGTCCCACATGTTCTCCATGTCTCCTCTTCTCCCGTTCTCCTAACTCCCTCTCCACCCATCCTGCTTTGTTCTTTTATCTCCTGAAAACAACATGTGCACTCTGTACTCTCCAGTCAAGGAGTTACCTACTGGCAGAAATTCCTGTTCTTTCTAGTTTTCCCTTCCTGCCATAATTCCCATACCTTTTAGTTATTAATTTTCCCTCACAATTTCATTCTGTATGTCCAACTCCCTCCATGTCTCATTAGTGTCACCCCTACCCCTCAATTATCTCCTACTTCCTGTCTCCTGTCTATACCTCCTGTTGACCATTCAGCTCTTTATTAAACCAGTTACAGCAATATATCTTAACACAATGTACAAATATTCTACGTGTGTGTGTGTGTGTGTGTGTGTTTGTGTGTGTGTGTGTGTGTGTATATGTGTGTGTGAATTTTACTCTTTCTTAAAATGTATATTTAAGGAACAATTTCTATGGTGTGGTGGAACTGGCTTGCATCCTCTGGTAGGGAGAGGGAAATCATGTGTTTTTCTTCCCATGTCAATGATACCACATTGCTCAAATGAGCCAAAGCTTGGAGTATTTACGCTGAGTGAACTGGCAAGCACTACCAGTTTTCTTCGGACAGCTATATGCTACCACAAGAGAACAAACACATCAGTTTTCTGGTGCTGGTGGGAGAATTAATAATTTCCTCATTTTTAATCAGTGTTGAAACCAAAAAAGAAAAAACAAACAAACAAATAAACCAGAGAAGTCCCATGGCTTCCAATGGCTGTGGAGCTCAGGTCTCTGTGGAAGAGTGAAGAAGCATTGGCTTTGGAGTAAGGCAGGCCCACACTGATCTACTTGTTTTCAAAGTTTAAATTAGACAGGTGTCTGAGTTAGCCTCTTAGTTTTCCCTCTAGCAAAATAAGGATGACATTTGTCTTCAGAAGATTTTGGAGCATCAAGAAAAATGCTATTCAAAAAAGCCAGTATGCTTGAAGGAGATCGGCAATCAGTGTAATTAACCTTGTGACTCATAAATATACATTTCTGTATCACTCTACTCTTCCCTTTATTTCAAACTTCCTCTGCCCAAAACCTTCTGTTAATGGTATCCTCCAAACATGAACTACTAGAATAAGTCAAATGTGTAAGAGTCAATATGTATTTCTGATTGCGAGGAGGAATCATATATATATGACTCCTTCTGGGAATCATGTGTGTGTGTGTGTGTGTGTATGTATTTTAGATATATATATCTAGATAATATTTTTTGCTGCCTGGACAGTGGCCCTTCTGCTAAGTTAATCATCATGAATGGGATTGCTTTGGGGACCCAAATGTGTGGTCTCTTGTTCTGAATTTGGTTTTTTCTGCCCACCTGAACTGAGTTGTTATTAGATCACTGGCTATAAATCACTCAGCTAAGTCAAAATACATGTTCCTTGTTGTTTCCCACTTTTACAAACCAAGAGCATATTCAATAGAAAACTGCTCTACACTCTGCCCCATTTGCTCAAGTCCATCTCTATAAAAACTCACCAGGAAAACGTGATGAGAAGGAAACAATAGACTCTGGTTAATAGTTTCTTATAAACACAAAGTTTTGTTTTGTTTTGTTTTGTTTTGACATTTGTGTTAAAGACCCAACATGAGCATTGCCTTCACATTGACTGATTATTATTGAGCCAAAGAAAACTTTTCTCAAGTCAGGAGCAATAAGGCAAGGCTGTGTGGCTGGTCAGTACTGTCAAATACTACATAAAGATGTACTCAAAAGGGATTGGAATGATGGCTCAGAGGTTAAGAACACTTGATCTTAAACAGGACTTGAGTTCCATTTCCAGCACACAGCACACACACAGCAGCTCACAACCTTCTGTAACTCAACTTTCAGGGAATCAGGTACCCTTCTCTGTTCTATATGGCTACCAAATGCTTCTTCACATACATAAAGACAAATACTCAAAAAAAAATTTAAAATAAAGAAATTTTAAGTAACTAAAACGAAAAGATCGGAGTAAAATTGTAGAAAAGCTATTGTATTTTTCCTGGGGTAAAAAAAAAAAGCAAATTGTGTGTACTGTGCAGGTGCCACATATCAGCTATACTAAGGGTTTCATGTTTCCAGGGTAAACACAGAAGAGAAACTAGTATGTGTGAGAAATATACAGCAGGATCGCTTGTTGTTATTACTATGATAATAGTTTGTAAATAGTATATAAATAATAGAAATTTATTATTTTAACCCAGTAGTATAACTATCACCACCAAATATCTCTAGAAAGCACTGAGCATTAAGGTAGGTGCTAACCCACCCTAATGCTCTTTCTTATGTAGTAGGAATGGTTTAGTGATGTGATAGTTTTATACTTGATCAGTATCTGTCAAAGCATGGCCCTGTATGGTGAATGTACTGCCTGGGATTTGGAAGGGAAATCTTATCCTTGCAGATGAACAGGCTGCCCCAGAGTGGCTAGTGTGTCTAGCCCCATCTCACTGCTCCTCTTGTTTTATCATATACTGTTGCCCAGGAGTCATACTACTTCTTCTGGATAAGCTACGAAAGATGAAATGGGAACAGATGTGGAGGCTGACAGCAGAGAGGGAACTCATGGGCATGCTATCTACCTCCTTGGCTGACCAGGTGAGTATTCAGTGGCAGAGATCCTTACACCTGAGTACCTTCCTGTTAATGCATATTCTGTTGTTACTACAGTAAACACTAAGAAAGGATTTTTTTTGTTACAATTTGGTTTTTTCTCAAATAAATTTTCAGTATATATGCCATGTTGGTGAACTAGCAATTCTGCCTCCGTTCTCCAAGTTCTGAGATTTACCTGAATGGGCCACCATGACTGGATTATGTGGTTCATTTTGGATCACAGTGTAGTAGGCTTTAACCCATATTTGCTTGATCATAGCATTATCAAGAACATGGAGGATCATATCTGCTCACCTCACTGTATAGACATCAAAGAAGATACTGGGTTCCCACAGTCCTCCCACATGTGTTCTCCAAATAACCTTAAAACTTTCCACTAAATCCTATCTATCAAAGGTTTAAGTACCTCCAGTGGGAATCCAGCACTTAGGACCAATAGTTTAGCACATGGATTTTTGGGAGAATATTGCAGACCTCAGACTACAGCAGACCTGGTCTGTTTCTTAACGATTCATGTTAATAAATGGATGGGTGTCAATTCATTGCTTTGTTCATATATTTAGTCAAAATACATTCACTGAACATTGTATACTAAGACATGTAGGAGGGTGACAGGTAAGTAAAGGGCCGGATTATTTTCCTTGTATACTTTATGTGTAATGATATTTTGCCTACATATAGGTCTTTGGACTTCATGTGTGCCTGGTGCCCATTGAGACCAAAAGAGAGGGTGTCAGATCCTTTAGAACTGAAGTTTACATATGCTTGTAAACCTTCATATGAGGGCTGGGGCTTAAACCCAACTCCTATGGAAGATCAGCCAGTGCTATTAACCACTGAGCCATGTCTTCAGTGGTACAAGTAATGTGTAAGTTAAAAACCATTACTGTGACCCTAATCCTGGTAGCCCTGAACTCAAGGGAATTGCATTTAAGCAGGAAAAACAAATGATAAGCAGTGTGAGAAGGCCCTCCAGCAAACTATTAACAAATATTCATTAAAATACATGTCTGACTTTGTCTAGAAGGCATGGACCTGTTTGACCTCAGAATTCTGGATCACTCATTTAGATTTCACTGTCTTGTGATGTTGCTGACAATCTTGAGGTGTGTAAGACACTCTGTCTAGGTTTTCATGTCTCCCTTTCCTTTGCATCCTGAGTTCATGCCTCATGATTCCTTTGCCAAATTTCCTACAAAGTTTTCAAATACAGAGGAAACAGGGAAGTCTGCAATTGTTTTTCTTTCTTTTTTTAAAGCATTATTATTCAGTATTTCCCAAGAAGCCAAAAACTGATCTCCCTTCCTAAGAAATGAGATACAGCATAATGAGTGAGTGAAAAATAAAGTAAAATAACTCAGGTGCTGTCTAGGACCTGAGAGGAAGTTGTCTACTGTCCTCATCATATTTCAAGTCTGATAACAGTGACCTGCCCCTGACCCCCCTCCGAAGCTAGCAATTGTCCCGTGAGGATAGTTTCTTCAGTCATCTTGTGTCATGAAAGCCTATAATTCACCTCTCAGCACCAAGTCAAATGGCTGGCTACTAAGTGGGGCTACATATTAAGTATGGAGCTTAACAAACCCTTCCTATACAAGTTGGAAGAGGAGTATGAAATAGTGAGTTGCACTCTGAATGCTGTGATCTGCAGAAATCCAAGGAGCATCCCTCATCAGGCCAAACAAAAGCCCCCAAAAAGCTATTAGAAATGAGTGTTTGTAGTTTGTCTTACCGTACATCTGGATGGGTTGAGCCACTTTTCATTACAGTAGTATTTCCTCCCCAGAAGGACAAGTCTAGCATGGGGCTCCAATCTAGGGTGGCACAAGGTGAGGAAAGGAGAATTGACTTATTTTATGATAGCCAGCATGGGAAAGACGTTCCCTCTCTGCCCTGTGTGACCTCTTTGGATGATGACCAGCTGGACTCACAGGTATTGAGTCAATCAGGAGGTTGTTCTATGACATTACCCTGTGCCTGCCCAGACATTTTCACTGTCCCCAATGGATGCAATTGTATGCTGGAGCAATCATAATCCCACAGCATGATCTTCGAGAGATGTTCTCCTGTTAGCTGAACCTGCCCACTTGCATGACTGTGCCCTTGGTTTTCATTCTACAGGATATTTTCAATGCTGTCATCAAACAAAATCCCTTCCTGGTGTATCAGCTCCCCTGCTTTTGGAACGTGCAGCTGTCAGACCACACTCGCTCTGAGCAGTGCTATAGAGATGTGTCTGATTTAAAGGTGGGTTAAGAGATGGGGTGTGTTTCATACCTTATTGTACTCCTCTGCTAAGCATAGGGAAGCTGGGTGCAAGGATTGGCAGGGAACATTTTTTTTTTTTTTTTTTTTTTTTTTTTTGGTGAGCCTATGGACATGTGATGGAAGATATGAGATCCCAGGAAAACAGAAAAAAACATGACTTCCCTCTCTGTTGGCTCTTTCCTTGCACACTCTTATTTGGCCTTCCCAGAAAGCATAAAGTCCCAGAGTAAAGAACCAGCTTGTGTGGTTTTTCCTCTTTTCATCTGCTGCCTTGTGCTTTGCTTCATTCCAGATACCCAAAAACATTGATTTAACTCAAGCGAAAACATTTGCAGAGAGGCCCACTATGTGCCAGGTACTACAGATGGGCTGTGAATAACCTTGTGCTTAAGTCCCATTTGTAGTAATGTAGAGAAATGTGGAAAAAAATGTGGAAGGAAACTGGTAGAAAGTAATACTGCAGGAGCCATGCCAGCTATAGAAGTATTGGGGCAAAGAAAGCAAGCACAATGTCTCATTCTCCCCTGCAAGATAGAGCAGGGGCAGAAAAGCTTTCCTTATGACTTTGTCAGTACCAACTACTGAAGAAACCCTGACTTTAAGAACAAACAGGGTAAGATATATTAGCTAGTGCTGTTCGTAGCATCACAAAACAAAATATCCTAATTGTGGCTGTACCTAGCAACTATGTGTTTAGCCTATGAATCTATACATTGGATGGGGTTTCACTCCTTTTCCCCGACTTAACCAAATACTGTGATTGGCTTTGGTTCAGAAGAATGATGCCTAGGATATCTAGATGTCCTCCAGGGTCCCTTGTATGATGTCATGAAGTCAAGCTGACATGTTCTCAGAGCAAGGCAGAGGTGGAATGGAAGCCCTTGTGTACAGAGGCAAATCCTGACTTGTTACTATTTGACTCACTGCCCAACATAGCCAAAAGTTAAAGTATCAAATCTTGCTTTCCTCCATCATTTTCTATTTTGTTTGTTGAGGTATGGTACATACTGAACCTGTAACTCACTAATTGGATAGACAGCTGGCTAGTGAATTCCCAGAAATCTTCCTATCGTCACCTCCCAGTATTGGTATTATAAGAACATATCACTATGCCTATGTTTTTATTTTTGTTTTCACATACATACATGGACACACACACACACACACACACACACACACACACGTGATTTGAATTCATTAAGGGTTTGGCAGGCTCAATATTTGCCTGTAATGTTAAATCTCAATAAAGAATTGCTAATGAAATTGTTTGCCAGATTTGAGACAATTATATATAACATCTGCTTTTTAGAAGACATAAACCTAACTAATGAAACCTAAAAGGTTGACAATAACATTAACCAAAAGTATTATCAAAAAAGTACCCAAAGGGAGCTATAATAACTGTACTGATATCAGATCAAACATTAGAGGAAGAGAGGACTAAAAATAAAACGTACCAGGAAACTACCAGCATCCCAAATCTGAATATATCTTGTGCTGTGACATATATGTTTCTAAATGTATGAGTGTGAAGAGTCTAAGTATATTTACAATTGTATAAATATTTTAATTTTTATTTATATCTTTCCATACCACCAAACTCATTAGAACTTTAGAGAAATAAATGAAATAAATGGGCAAGCCTATCATAGTGTAGTATTTTAATATCCTATTTTCAAACATGAAAAGATGAGTCAACAATAATAAAAATGTGGTAGATTTGATTGACAGTTAATATACTTGATTTATTGGATAAAGAGGCTTGTGTGGACAGTTAGAATATACATCCTTATCAACTTCACACCCAACATTTACCATACCATAACCATGTACTAGACCATAAAACAACTCTCAGTACATTTTAAGAAAATTTTAGCATAATGCAACAAAGTAACTTCTATTTGAAGCCTTTAAAAATAAGATGAAAGGCATCTAATTGATTAAAATTGAGAACCCTTTCTTATATTTCTCATGGTTCTCAATGGCAATTACAATTGAAACTGAGAACTACTTAGGGACTAAATAAAATTGAAAACAATCTATGTCTAAAAGCATATGGGAGGTCCAAGAAAGGCTTGCCAAGCCTGAGATGATAAACAGTGAACATAAGCAGGACATAAAGAAGAGATGAGAGCAGAAATTAATTAGGGAAATGTTTGATAAAGTCAGAAGGTCCTTGTTTAGAAAGAACCAATAAAATCAACAACATTTTGACAGTACTTGTCAGACAAAGTGAAGAGAACTCACCAGGCAATGGACAGCCAGCATGAATTCATATTCATTAATTCATTCTCCAGAAGTTTTGTGAGCTAAAGCATAGACAACAAAGATTAAAGTTACCAGCCTTGATCTAAGAACTTTCAAGTTAATAGAATTGTAGAAGATATCCAAATGTGATCAACATTATTTTAATAAATTTGAAAGCTTATGTTAAAGAAAAATCTCTTGGAATCTATAATATACCAAACCTGATTTCAGAAGTAAAATATCTAGATTACCTTCTATTCATTAAACGGTCACATGAGAATTGATGGATGTTATGAGTTTCGTATGTGGATACATATATCCATACTTTTGTGTTCATATATATTTGGATACATGTATATGCAGGTGCATGTAGAGGCCAGAGGTTACCATTTAGTGTTTTTGCTGCTTGTTGTTTATTGTATATACTGTGACTGTATCTCTAACTTGAACCTAGAGCTTACCAATGTATCTAGTTTAGATATCCAACTTGCTATGAATACCCTTATCTCTATCTCCTAAACTCTAGACTATAAACCCAACTGACATTTATGTGAATGCTAAGAACCTAGTTGAAGGTCCCACATTTACATAACAAGTGTTTGCCCACTAAACTGTTTTCCATTCCCTATAGTAATCCTTCCTAAAAGGACACAGCTCCCTAGTTGGCAAGTAGAAATAAGCTCTAGCAGTTGCATTTTTTATAAGAAAAAAAAATATTTTCAACTTTAAATAACATTTTCCAACGATGAGGAAAAGATTACTTTCTATTTCATTCTGCGAGTTCAGGTTATCCTTGATTCCCAAAATAGAGTTCTATGATGTGAAAATCACAAGCCAGTTTCAATTGTGAACATAGATGTAAAAAATCTTAAGTGAATTTTGGCAAACCAAATTTAGTCATATAAAAAATACATCGTGGCCAAGTTGGGATTATTACAGTAAGAAAAAGGTGATTTAACACCCAAAATTCACAACTGTCATCAGCTTATTAATGAAGTCAATGAGAAACACTGTGTAACCCAGATAGATACAAGAAAGTTATTTAATGAAGTCTCATTCATGTTATAAACTCTCACAAAATTGGTAACTATTAAAAACCTTGTACAAACACAATGGAGGCCAGAAGACAACAACCTCAGTTGATATTCACCTTGTTGTTTTTTTTTTAATTTATTTATTTTACATACCAAACACAGTTTCCCTCCTCTCCTCCCATTCCCTCTCCCAACCTCCTTTCTACCCACCCCTCATCCACTCCTCCTCCATCTCTATTTAGAAGGGATAAGGCCTCCCATGGAAGTCAACAAAGCATGGCATATCAAGTTGAGGCAGCACCAATCTTCCCCCTTTTATATGAGCATTGGGCTACGAATCTCACCATAGGGAGTAGGTTCCAAAGACCTACTCATGTGTCAAGTACAGGCCCTGGTCCCACTGCTAGAGGCTTCACAAAAGACCAAGCTATACAAACTGTCACCCAAAGAATGTGTAGTTAAATTTCAGTTCTATTAGAAACACAAGAAATGCAAATGCTCTAGCCAGCACAACACTCCTGCAAAGTCAGTATTCACTGTTTTTAACTGAGCTTTTAGTGTCAGAGCCTGGGACCTGGCAGCCTAAAGTTCAGCCACCCACCATTAATAGGACACTTAAAGAAATGGGAGATTATTTAATGTGGCCACATTGGGGAGAGGATCAAAAGGCCTAGTGACACTTTCAAAGTCCATCTTGGAGGTTTTGAAATGAAGTTAGAGATTATACATGGTTTAATATGCATACTCAAGGTGTGGCCTTTCCTATCATCATGTGTTGGGTTCCAGGTTCCTCTTCTTAGTAGAATGTCAGGCTATTGGAACTATGTGAACCACTGTTCAGGAGAACATGCCCCATCTGGCTGGCACTAGGCTCTCAGCCAAAGGGAAGGATACAGGGTCTCTTTGGAATATCTTGGTTTCTACCACAATAATTATTGTATATTGGGGTAAATATCTCACATCTTCCTGCAATAAGCTTCTTGGCCTTGGCCATTTTGTCTACCCTGGGTGACACCACAAAATGCTGACACCTTCCTTCAGAAAATTCCAAATAGGAAAAGTGTTTTCATGGCAGTAACAAAAGTGCCCAAGAATTTGGGGCCAAGTAATTCTATAGATTTTGACAACAGTTTTAATTCTTACCAGCTCACTGACTTGAATAAATCACTTGCCATTCCCCAGGTTCAATTATATTCTCTGTAAAATAGAAGCCATTATTTTTTGTTCATTCTTAGCCACCACCACCCCCCCCCAAGTGTTCAGAGAAGTACACTTTTGTTACCTCCTCCATCTTCTATGTTTCAGAGCCTTCACTTTATCTTTGAAGATTGAAGACTTAGCCTTACCTGACTTAATTTATAAGAGAAAGGGTGAACCCAAAAGAGCACCTTCTCCAACTCCCCATGTTTTTTTGACAGGTACACAAACTCAGGAAACCAGTAAAGGAGCTGGAGAGAGTTTACTGGACTTTGTCTCAGTCCTCAGGACATCTGGGACAATTACAGAATAAGGTGCTGGTCAGAGATGGCCAAGTAGATAGAAGCATTTACTTCACAAGCTCAAAGAACTTTCCATCCACAACCCCACCGGGAAGAAAGAGAGAACAGACTTCAACTTGTTGTGCCCCAACATCATGATGATGCTGTTTGATAAGCATCCTTACATAAATAATAGTTTTTTAAAAAAAAAATAGTAGAA